GAATGCTATCGGGGCCAGGTGCACGATTAGACTCCATAGCAAAAAGAGCAGCTTTGATTTCCTCTAGGGAAAAGGGTTTAGTTAACTCCTCATTATCACTCGAGGATATTTTTTCCTCATTAGACCACAAGGAAGCGTCAACACTACACATATTGCCAGGTGCAGGTCCAAACAACTCCTTATAGAACCCAGTAGCATGTGCTAATAAATTTTTGGTTCCTTCGATAATAACTGAGCCACATTCAAGAGAACGCATCGTTTTTTTCCTACGTCTCCCATTAGCCACTTTATGGAAGAAATCAGTATTATTGTCACCTTTCAGCAGCCACCTTTTGGTAGACTTTTGGTGCCAGGATAACTCCTCCTCTGAGTAAATATTATTGAGTTCCACCAGGATATTATGTTTTCTCATATATGCCTCCCCACTCAAATCAGATTTCTCTTCCAAGAGCTCCAGCTCTTGGAGTTCCAGCCTAAGTATATTTTTCTTAATCCTGATATTGCCAAAATTGTTAGAGCCCCACCCTTTAAAAAATGTCTTCACCCTCTTCAACTTGATATTCAGAATATCAATAGGGTCGTCCGTGTACACAGGTTTAGCCCATATTTCGGCAACCAGAGGGAGGAACTCTGGGTTGCTCAACCAAGCGTTGTCAAATTTGAAACACCTATTGCCTGGGGCCCTAGATGAGGCCACCCCTCCATCCAGTAACAGAAGATTATGATCAGAGAGGTCCTTGACCATCTTCGCAATCGATACTAAAGGATATAAATCTTCCCAGTCAGTAGACATTAATACCCTATCAAGTTTTTCTAGAGTAGGATGCTCATGTTTATTAGACCAAGTGAAACAGCCACCAGCCATGAAAATCTCCCTCAAGCCCAACAAATGAATAATGGCATTAAAAACATCAGAAAAGTGGGATAGAGGAGTCTTTTTATTCTTTTCCCCACAATGTCTAATGATATTAAAATCACCGCCCACCAAATATGGAGTGTCAACTCTATGACAAAAGGAGGACAACTCAGCTAAAAATTCAGGTTTATTCTCATCCTGAGCAGCACCATATACTACCAATAAAGCCCACTTGCATTTCTTAGCTTTATCAAAAAGATTGATCTGAAGTATATATTTGCCACGCACCACGTCTATCACTTCAAGTGTTTCTAGCCTCAAACCACATAAAATCCCACCAGATTTCCCAATCAAAGGAATCCATTCCCACCTGAATTCAGAATGAGGGTCGAACCTCCTAAAAAAGGAGGGCTTATAATTCTTTTTCATGGTCTCTTGCAAACCAATGAAATCCACTTTATTGGTATTAATGATATCAGTGAGGCAGGAAGCCATACCACTTTTTCCTGCCCCCCTACAATTCCAGAAGGCCCCAATCATTTATAACGTTCAGGTTTCTCTCTCACCCTGGTAGGCCTACTAGGATTCAGAGTAGCCCTACCATCAGCCTCTTTCTTCTGCCTCCGAGTCACAGGTCTAACTGTGATGTTAGGGGACGAAATCACTACTTTATCCTTCATAGGGGACTTTTTTTGCTTTCTTCTAGAACGAACATGAATAAATGGGACATCATCTCCCGTGTCCTGATCTTCCCAAGTTAAGGAAAGAGGGGCAGCGTTACCTAAGCCATCTTTGATGGTGATATCCGTAGGGTTGGTTTTTTATTCATGAAGCAGTTGTCTAGATGTTTCAAGTTCACGAAGAATATCAATAGTATTGAAGTTATCATCAGGTATATTGACCCCCATAAGAGAAGCACGTAACATGATAGCAGTATTGGACAGAGCAGAAAATTGATTGCCATTAGAAGATCTAAAGAGGGGAGTACCTTCGAAGTTGCGCTTCTTCAGCCGATCAGCTGCCCTCTGCTCCACCCTAGCAAGCTTTTGGTATTGGTTGCGACCCTCAATTCCAGACACCTCACGCTGCATTTCATGAATAGGAGATCCAGTAGGAGACTCAACAGTATACATATTGCGAGTCTCACTCCCCTCTTTAGATCCATCCTCCAGCTCAACAACCCGAGGCATATTAGGCCTTGCAGTTCACGCAAATGGCCGTGCAGTTCACGCGGCCCTTACTTCGTCTAGTTCTACTCACTCAGCCAAATGGCCAAAGAGGAGCATCACACGTGAATAAACCATACAAGCACTAAGGAGTGACCTGACCTGACATGCTTTATTTTATCAAATACCACTTCTCATGCCATGCTAACGAGCTCACTCTGCCAGCTTCTGCCACTTCAAACTCTGGTGAGGAGTACAGATAAGTAGCCAACAGTGCCGCCGCCGCGACTGTGCCGAACATGTTGTATGTGTGTGCGCACAACATAATAAAAGTCTGAAATCTACTAGCGGTAAAATGAGATGACTGAACTTGATTTGGCCTTTAAGCTTCCATAATTTCTACTAGCGGCAAACATATGGAATGGACGAACTGAATTATCTTAATCAAGAACAGGGATGTCCAACTAGCTTTGATAAATACACTATTCCCATCCAACTACTTTTACTTTCTATAGGACTACAGCAGTTTCAAACAATTGCCGGGTTCTAACAGAATGTATCATAATATTACGACGGGTCGTGTAGAAAACCTGAATACAAATCATGTGCAGTAACAACATTTAATTTACCACTGTTGAAACCTGAATTTTGTTCAGAGGTTATTCAAACACAAGCAAAATGGGCTAAATCAAACGGATATCATCACCATCTTCTCTGTTAAGGCTGAAAAGAGATGAATCAACTGATCTACTCTGTCTACAAGATTACAATAGTTGCAGACAGCTCACACTAACTCTTTCAGACTTCAACAGATTCAGATAACTGTTTTTCAGACTAGAACAATTTCAGTAAGCTGTTCTTCAGACCACAACAGTTTCAGTAAACGTAGTGTGTAACAAATTCAGTCAAAGATTCCAGAGATTGCTCGGAGAGTGCTGTCAAGGATATTATACCCAAACAAGTAAAGGAGCTTGAAGTAGTTCTGTATGATGGACCGAATGACATGGACCGGAATGATGGAACTAAGAGTACTAATGACAGGGATCGGAATGATGGACCGAATGACAAGAAATGGAATGATAAGCTACTGTCTTCTGTAGGCACGTGCAGCAACCTTAAATCTCTGACAATTTATGGTGATTCCAATCCGTGCTTTCTCCAACTTTCTCCTGGATCCCCATACTTTCTCCAACTTGAGAAGCTAAAGGTGGCAGGAAGGTTTGTCAAAGTTCCAGTGTGGATTGGACAGCTCAGAACTCTTGCTCTTCTTGTTATCAGGGTCTGGAAACTAGAGGAGAAGGATCTGAAGATGATCGGAGGCCTGCCCTGCCTGAGTGTTCTTGAACTAGCACTGGTTGGCACTTTGCAGGTATGTTGATGGATCACCAGAAAACAGAGACCGAGAAGCAAATCTGTGAGATGATGAACAATGGCATTATTCGTCGCAGCACCCACCTCTTCACTCTTCACGTCTGATCACCGTGGCAACTGTCATCTTGTTCTTACAACAGATGCGGAGCTTTGGTCTTCAGAGCAAATTCACCATGTATCTGGATCTAGGATCTTGTTGTCTGGATCATATTTGTGTATCAGCTCTCATGCCACCCTCTTCTGTTTCCATTTTAAACCTAATGATAATGTGTATTGTGTAATCCTAATGATGCTTGTATCAGCTTATGTTTACTACCATCAACCCTGATGATGCTTGTATCAGCTTATGTTTATGAACTTTCAATTGATGAGTTGTTTTGTAATTGTGACTTCTTCTGAACCTATATTCATATTATACTCTAAACTTGCATGTGCCGTGGCCTCCCGTCCGATCTCTGATTGTTACCACTAGTGGAGCATTTCTTGTGTCACTCTGAATGCCTTCTCTGACTGTCAAATACTTACTTCAGATTTCGCAGCTTTGTAGCAAATGATTCCAAGCTACAAAATAGATGTTTTATGGAACTATGCTTTCTTCAGTGCAGAAATGAAATACTCAAATGATTTTATCTTATTTTCATGCAGCTGTTCTTAATTTACTACTTTCCTTCACAGAATTTGGCAGTTGTGTTATTTGAGCATAGGACATTGCATTATTCTGATCAAGTTTCACAGTGACACAAGAGACAAACAGATTTCATTTGTATCAATCATCATGAATACATTCCAATTTCCAAAGCATTATGCAGCAGAATATTTGTGCCAGTGTAAAATCTCAAAGTTGTGGGAACTTTTGGCTAAGACTGTCCTATCAACACACAGAAATTTGCACTCGGAAATTTCACAACAAACTTCCTGCCTGGCATATAAATGTCTTTAACCTTCAAAAGGTCTTTCCAGCATGGACATCCTGTCCTCTTCTTCTGACAAGGGCAAGAGAAGAATGCCCCCATCAAGTATCAATCTCTTGCCAATGTTTCGCAAAATAGATGAAAGCTAGAATTACAACCGAGCACCGTCGCCGATGAAACTCAAATGGAGCTGAAGGACTAGGATTACAAACATATAATCAAGGAAGTAGAGCCTTGATCTTGCGCACAGAGTAGAATAACACGACATAATAATTCTTACAATAATTACAAAAAAGATCTCAAGGAAATTGTATCTGGATCTTGAATGCAGACTAGAATAATAACAGAACAGAATATTGCTTACAAGAATTACTAAACAGATATCAAGGAAGCAGTCTCATAATCTTGACGTACACCTACTAGAATAGCACAACAGGATATTTCTTACAACAATTACAAGCAGATATCAAGGAAATAGAGTCTTGATCTTGCACACAACAGTATTTCGTAGAAAAAATAAGCATAAATGAATATAACCCAATAGGTTGGCTTTTGGGTCACTCACACCTTATACCGATCAACAATTATTCTGGCGCAGGAGCCATCTTCCCTGGTGGCTGCACTTGGCAGATCTTCTACTAACAACTGGGTAAACTTGCCTGCTTTGTCATGCATTCTGAGATGTAACTCTTTGAGCTATGCAAGGTTCTCTAAGCTATATAGTCCCTCCAGCTTGCTGAACCGCAGTTCAAGCCTTTCGAGCTTTGGTAACACCTTCTCTGGAAAGCTTAGCGGCGGCACCGAAGGAGCTGAGATACGAAGGAGCTTTAGGTTCTCAAATCCACTAGCCGGAACTATGATCTCCCCATCAGAGTGCTCTTTATTCTCCTCGATAATGGCGGTTGTTTCCGGATCCAGCTTTGCTGCGTTAAGTGAAAATGTGAGCGAGAACAATGTCTTGAGCTTGCTCAACTGTTTCAGAGCATCAGTAGTGAGCGTCGTCACCGAGAGGGTTAGCTTCGTGAGAGCTTCCAGCTCTGTGATCCATCCTGGGAGCTCAACCAGCTTGCCAGACAGCTCGAGGGCATTGAGAAACTTCGGAGGGGTAGAGAGAGCACCTAGCGATTTTAGAAACTCAGACGACTCATCATCAATCACCAGGGTGTGGAGAGAATAGCCACCAAGGTACTCAATGGAGGAGCTTAGTTCTTCGAAAAGCTTATTATCCTTCTTGATGTTGAGCTTGTAAATGGTGAGCTTCCTCAGATCTGTCAGATGATGAAAGTCTGCCACTGTAGCTGGTCCCTCGACGATCTCAATACCTGACAGTATGCGCAGGCTTTTCATTGTTTCCTTCTTCAGATCTTCAGGAAGCTTCAGTGCCTTCCGTGTTCTTTTGTTCCCACCAAGTATGTTTGCTACTCGTTCAAGCTGGCAGATGGTGTTCGGCAACTCCGTGACATTGGTCTCTCTTATGTCAAGAGTCTCCAGATATTGGAGCTTTCCAATTTTTTTGGGTATCTTGTTGATGTCTGTCCTTCGTAGGCTTAGGTACTTGAGTAGAAGCATCTTGCATATCTCCTTGGCATGATGTTGTCTGAAATCCTGGCAACCTTCGAGGTCTAGTACTTGCACAATTCCAAACTTCAATGAATTAGAAGGCAGTTGGGTTAAGCTCCCAAATATGGTCAGAGATCGGACATGAGACAAATTCATGGTCTCCATTGTTTTCTTGTGTTTCGAGTCACCGCCTTGAAGGGACAGCCGGCGGACTTTGTTGCTAGGTGGCGCCATTAGCCAGTGGCCGCCGACCACAGTGACGAAGTTTTCCTCGCTTGCCTTGGATACAATGTACTCAAGAACCATGTCATGGACTTGGTAGCTCTTCACCTTGCCGTTGCTGCTGTGCTCCACAGCACGTATGATCTTCCTCCTCACGAGATGATTGAAATATGCCTCTGCAACATCTTCCGCACTCAGCCCATCCTTCTCGCAGACAAATCCCTCTGCCAGCCAACGCCTCGTCAGCCGCTTCCTGCTGACCTTGCTGCCCTTTCGAAATATGCATAGATACAAGGAGCAAGTCCTGATCTCACCAGGCATATCATTGTAGCAGTGATTGAGTATCCTGGTGACTCCGTCCTGGCCAAGAGCTTTCCCGGAGTCTGGTACCAGTGCTTTGCAAACTTCACTCCACTTGGTTGCCAGTTTGTCATTGTTGCAGGCGGCATGCCCAGCCATGATAACTATGGCCAATGGCAGACCCCCGCACATTTGCCAGAGTTTGGATGGAATTTTCTCTTTTTTTTCCTTAGACTTGTCCTCACTGTTAGAGAATATGTTTCCGTAGCATCTCAAACTCCTTTCCTTCTCCTACTCAAACTCCTTGTAATATTCCTTGTACTCCAAGCTTGGCTTCGGCAGCATCAATCAATATAAACAGAACCGCAGCTCTCCTCGAGGGAGTAGGAACGCTTATTATCTTTTATGGTAATCAGAGCCACCTCTTCTCCTACATCTAGCTACAAATCAAAACCCTAGAACCACATATCATCGTCTCCATGGCTTCTTCGTCCGGCGTCGGCCTCAACCTCGGATCGCCGCCATCTGAGAAGCTAGCAAGAGGAAACTTCATCCTCTGGAAGACCCAGGTGCTCCCAGCCCTGCGAGGTGCGCAGGTAACCGGGCTCCTGGACAACTCTGACGCCGCTCCACCCAAGACTGTGGAGAACACGAAGGCGGACAAGACGACGGCCCTCGAGCCGAACCCTCTGTACGGGCCCTGGATCGCCAAAGACCAGCAGGTCCTGTCATATCTTCTCAACTCCATGTCTCCAGAAATCCTTGCGCAAGTCGTCGGGAAGGACTCCACCTATGAGCTCTGGACGACGGTGAACAATCTCTTCGCCGCGCAATCACAGTCCCGGATCACCAATCTAAGGATCGCGATCACCAATACCAAGAAGGGCACAATGTCGAGCTCGGCGTATATGGCGAAGATGAAAAGCCTTGGGGATGAACTAGCTGCCGCTGGTCGTCCCGTCTCTGATCCGGAGATGGTGGACTACATACTCGCAGGACTCGACCGCGACTACGACTCCGTGGTGGCGGCGATCGGCGCTGTCAAGAACACAATCACCGCCGATGACCTCTTCGCTCAGATCTCCGCCTTTGATCAGAGGATGGAGATGCTGGGAGACTCGTCTTCAGGCGGGTTTCATTCATCTGCCAACGCCGTCTACAGAGGCCGCGGCCAGTCCCGTGGTAGATCCCGTGGGCGAGGAGGAAGAGGGCGCGGCCGCGGTGACCGCGGTGACCGCCAGCCTTCTCCTGCAAATAGAGGCGGCGGATTCAGAGGACGCCCTCGACAGCAACAGCAACAGCAGGTACGCGAGCAGCAGCATGACTATCCTGAGTGCCAGATATGCTATAGACATCATCCAGGAGGTGCACGTGTCTGCTGGTGGCGCTATGAAGAGAATGATCAAGAAGAGAAAGAGGCGCATGCTGTCTCCTATGGCGTGGACACTAATTGGTACGCAGACAGTGCAGCAACAAATCACATCACAGGTGAACTTGACAAGTTGACAGTACGGGAGAAGTACAACGGAGGCGACCAAATTCGCACGGCAAGCGGTTCTGGTATGAATATCACCCACATTGGTAGTTCAATTGTTCAAAACCCCATGAAAAATTTGCACCTTAAAGATGTCTTGCATGTTACTCAAACTTCCAAAAATCTTGTTTCTGTTCATCGATTCACCCTTGATAATAATGTTCTTATAGAATTCTATCCTCACTTTTTCTTGGTTAAGGATTTGAGCACAAGGAGAATCATTCTTAGAGGACGGTGCGTGGGAGGCCTCTATCCACTCATATCATCATCATCTTCTTCATGGTCCAATAAACAAGCAAATATTGTCACCAAGCCATCATCATCAAGGTGGCATAGTCGATTAGGTCATCCATCTTCAGTCATAGTTAAATATGTTCTTAGCAAAAATAAACTCTCTTATGAGAATAGTGTTGAGTCAGTTTGTGATCCGTGTCAACAAGCAAAAAGTCATCAATTACCCTATCCCATCTCTACTAGTGTGTCTACTGCTCCTCTACAACTTATATTTTCAGATGTATGGGGACCAGCCCCTACTTCAGTTGGGAGATTTTCTTACTATGTAAGCTTTATTGATGACTATAGTAAATTTACTTGGATTTACTTGTTAAAGAAACGGTCTGATGTATTCCAAGTCTTCATCAATTTTCAAAACCTTGTTGAACGCAAACTGAACTCCAAGATCATTGCTATGCAAAGTGACTGGGGTGGTGAGTACGAAAAATTGAACTCTTTCTTCCAAAAACTTGGTATTTCACATCATGTCTCTTGCCCTCATGCTCACCAACAAAACGGATCTGCTGAAAGAAAGCACCGTCACGTAGTTGATATGGGGCTAGCATTGCTAGCAAATGCATCCATGCCACTCAAATTCTGGGATGAAGCATTCTTAACCGCTACATATCTTATCAATTTGCTTCCTAGTAAAGTCATCAAATTTGAAACACCTATTACACGACTCCTTGGTGTCACACCCAACTACACATCTCTTCGTGTTTTCGGTTGTGCACGTTGGCCCAACCTCAGACCCTATAACACACGCAAACTCGCTTTTCGCTCCAAAAAGTGTGTCTTCTTAGGCTATAGTCCCATGCACAAAGGAGTTAAATGTCTAGATGTTCCTACTAGTAGGGTCTACATATCCAGAGATGTAGTTTTTGATGAGTCAGTGTTCCCTTTTGCTTCCCTTCATCCCAATGCTGGTGCACTTCTCCGCAAGGAAATCCTTCTTCTTCCTCCACATCTTCGGTCTTTTGATCATGGGGGCGACAGTTGTACTAACCAAAGTGATGATATTCCTGCTGGTATTGGTTCTTCTCTGTTGCCTGTACAGGTCCCTGGTGAAAACGGCGCTCAAAATGATCAAAATTTCGAAAATCAAGCTCAAGATCATCTTATATTTCATGCTGAGGAAGGAGACGAACCTGGCACAGATGACAAAGCTGATCCGGCGGCGCCCGCAACTCCTGTTCGTGCGCAGACCTCGGATCCCGCGGCCAAATCAGCCTCGGATCGCGCTCCCACCAACCGCAGCGCTGATTCAGCAGCAGGCGGGACCAGCTGCGGGGTCGGCTGCGGGGCCGAATCCGCCTCGCCCAGCGCGCGCCACTCCCACGCCGCCACCTCAGCAGCAGGCGGGACCAGCCGTGGGGCCGAATCTCCCTCGCCCAGCGTGCGCCTGCAACCGCGGTCGGGCGATCGATCCGCTGTGCCGGCTCGGGCGGCTGGCACCCGTGTGGTGGACACACAAGCGGCCACACCAACGGCTACAGGATCCTCTGCGCAGGTGGCGCCAGATTCGCCTGTGTCATCACATGCAGCTTCCTCGGGATCTTCTGCGGCGAGTGCTCCTGTGGTCCAGCCAGTAGTTTCTTCACGAGTTATGACTCGATTACAGAAAGGTATACGAAATCCTAAAATAAGAAAAGATGGGACTATACCATATGGAATGTTGTGTATTTCAGGAGAACCAACAACATTGAATAGTGCACTTGATGATCCTAAGTGGAAGAAGGCAATGGATGAGGAATATTCTGCACTTATGAGGAACAAGACATGGCATCTTGTACCAAATCAGAAAGGTAAAAATATCATCGATTGCAAATGGGTTTACAGAATTAAAAAGAAGGCAGATGGCTCCATTGACAGGTACAAAGCACGTCTCGTTGCAAAGGGTTTTAAACAACGTTATGGTATTGATTATGAGGACACTTTCAGTCCTGTTGTTAAAGCTGCAACTATCAGACTTGTGCTAGCCATTGCTGTATCCAAGGGTTGGAGTCTACGACAGCTAGATGTACAGAATGCGTTTTTGCATGGCATTCTAGAAGAGGAAGTGTTTATGAGACAACCACCTGGTTATGAGGACAAGAAGTCACCACATTATGTTTGCAAGCTTGACAAGGCACTCTATGGTTTAAAACAAGCACCCAGAGCATGGTACTCCAGATTGAGCTTACAGTTGAAATATCTTGGTTTCATTGCCTCCAAAGCTGATACATCATTGTTTATTTATAACAAGGCTGGAGTAGTCATTTTTGTGCTTATATATGTTGATGATATCATAGTTGCAAGTTCTTTACAAAATGTTACTAATGCACTTCTGCATGATTTGAGCTCAGAGTTTGCCTTGAAAGACCTAGGTGATTTGCATTTCTTCCTAGGTATTGAGGTCAAGAAAACTCAAGATGGAATTGTGTTAAATCAGGAGAAATATATCACTGAGCTTCTGTCTCGCATGGGGATGAAGAATTGCAAGCCAGTTCCTACACCTTTGTCTTCCTCAGAAAAACTTTCAGCATATGAAGGTGTGCCACTTCAGGAGGAGGAAAGTACAAGGTATAGGAGTACTGTGGGAGCATTACAATATTTAACTCTCACACGTCCAGATATCTCATTTGCTGTCAACAAGGTTTGTCAATATCTGTGCACCTACTTCTGCACATTGGTCAGCTGTCAAGAGAATTGTAAGATATGTAAAGCGTACTATGGGAATAGGACTTCATTTCAAACGGTCTAATTCCTCTCTTGTGAGTGCATTCTCTGATGCTGACTGGGCAGGATGCAGTGATGACAGAAGATCAACTGGAGGCTTTGCAGTATTTTTTGGGTCTAACCTTATTTCTTGGAGTGCCAGAAAGCAAGCCACCGTGTCACGGTCAAGCACAGAAGCTGAATATAAGTCCTTGGCAAATGCAACTGCAGAAATCATTTGGGTTGAATCACTTCTTGAGGAATTGGGAATCAAGAAGAATCGTATCTCATGTTTATGGTGTGATAACTTGGGAGCAACATATTTGTCTGCAAATCCTGTGTTTCATGCAAGGACAAAGCACATCGAAATTGATTTTCACTTTGTGCGAGAAAGGGTTGCAGCCAAGAAACTCGAGATACGGTTTATTCCCTCCAATGATCAAGTAGCAGATGGTTTTCCAAAGGCATTGCCATCAAGACCATTTGAGGAGTTCAAGAGTAATCTTAATCTAGGGTAGTTAAGATTAAGGGAGGGTGTTAGAGAATATGTTTCCGTAGCATCTCAAACTCCTTTCCTTCTCCTACTCAAACTCCTTGTAATATTCCTTGTACTCCAAGCTTGGCTTCGGCAGCATCAATCAATATAAACAGAACCGCAGCTCTCCTCGAGGGAGTAGGAACGCTTATTATCTTTCACTCACTAATTCCAGATTCGGTCATGAATAAATCTTTAGACTTGTCGTCGCTAAGTACCACCACTTTATGAATGTGATCTCCACTGTCTCTTCTGCATGCACTGGCAACAGCTTGAAACCGTGTGGTAACTATTACTCTACTGCCTTTCTTACTTGTAGGCAATGAGTTCTTTATCTTCTCCCACATTGTTGCAGACCACACATCGTCAACTAAGAGCAAGTAACTGCAATGAGAGGGAAAAAAATAAATATTAGATAAGCTCTTTTACACAGCGTAGAGGTAAAATAAGACTTGCTGTTCTCTGGATGTTGGGTTTTGCCTTATGAAATATCAACATCAAGGAAGTGGCCACACAAAAATTCAGTTATGACCAAAAGTTGAAGTATTATACTGGCATGTCCTTTTTGTTGACACACGAAGCTTTTGCAATCTTGATTAAATGTTCAATACTATTGTCCACAAGTTGCTCAAATGCTCAAATCACAATTGATTACTTCCTTTTAAATAAGATGCATGATTTGCAATGGTTTTATGCTCCTGCATAGTACTATGCAACTCTACAATTTAGTGATGAACTAATTGAGCAACACATACTCTCAACATGAAAATATGGTGTACCTTTTTCCATTCAAGTACTCCTCCAGGTGCCTCTTGAGATCTTGTGTTGTCTGGGATGTGATGCCACCTTGCTGCTCACCGTCCTTGTCGCCCTTGGGCATGATACTGGCCCATACTGTTCCAATGGCAGCCATGAGGCATTTCTTCCCAGAGGGGCCGCCGCCACCGGTGCATTGCTCCTCATTATCATCTTTGGATTGAGGCTTGACTTGACTGAGTATGGTCAGCAGTATCGCGTCAATGTCAGAGCTCTGGGACACGGTGACCGTCGCCCGGCGATCAAATTGATCGCCGTATGCCTGGTACAAGGCCGTGGCGATGGTCGTCTTGCCGACCCCTCCGAAGCCAACGATGGACAGCACGGCCTGGTGAGCTCGGATCCCGGGTGTGCGCTGCAGCTAGATCTAGAGTGAGCTCAGAATGGGGGATTGGATTCCCTCCCTCGCGTTGGTAGAGACTGACAGCATGTCTTTGTTTCCATTTTTTAATTTTTTCAAGACTAGGACTCTTTCCGTCTCATAATATAAAAATATTTTTGACAGAAGGAATAATATGGAACGAATGAAGTAGTATGAAATTTTATAGAAAACAGAAAAAACAATTACAAAAGACCACCACTTATCATGAACATCAAGTATAGTATAAACTTTACACCCAAACTAATCCCAAGGTAAGCCGCCCCACACGTGATAAACACAACGCAAAGGAACCTACCCTAAACAGAAAATCAAAGCCGCGTCTCTCGACCGACACCGATCACCTCGAAGTGCAACTATTTCAACTGGACTTCCCTTGTCGGCGTACCAACCATCCTTGAATGCCTGAAAGGAGATGACGAGTGGGTGGCGTCATTGTGACCATAATCTCGCAACACACCGACCTTTGCACTGTCGAGGGCACGCAACCCAACTTTCATCTCTCGTTCGATCGAGGGAAAACACAGCTTTGGACCTTCAATCAATGCCAGCATAATCAAGGGCCGCTAGCACCACACGTAGCCGACATCCGCACCAACTCCAAATCCATATCGCACGCCACCACCTCCATCACCCGCGTCGGCATCATCAAAGGACAGCACCGCAATCCAGCCGTTGCTTCTTGCGCAACACCTCCTAGCGGAGATCATAGAGTCGCGACCACCTTGGCCTAGACATGTTGGCGCCACCAAATCCCTCGTCGGCGGCTCCAGGAGCCCACACCCACGCGCCAAAACCCTCCATTTTGACTCCCCTGCCGAGCTCCGCCGCTTCGCTGCATTTCCCGCCAGACGTCGCCACACTAGAAGAACCCCCGCGCCGCCTATGTGACGCCTCACCCTCGCGCGAAGGAAGCCCGTCGGAGCGTGTTGACCATGCTCCCCGCCTTCGAGGTCGGGCGACGCTGCCACTGCCGGTGCCGCCCAGGGAAGCATGAAGGAGGAGGGGTTGGGCTAGGGTTTCATCGTCCGGAGCCACCCACGCAAGCATCCATGGAGCAAAGGGGAAAGTATGAAAAATAGTGTTTTGGTTTCCCTCTTTGTTTTTATTAAGTCCGAAGGAAAGGAAACTCTCCCTTCAACACCTATTACACTACGCAAAGGCTAGGGTTTCATCCTCCGGAGCCGCATACACAAGCAGCTGGGGAGGAAAGGGGAAAGTATGAAAAATAGTGTTTTGGTTTCCCTCTTTGTTTTCTGTTAAGTCCGAAAGAAAGGACATCTCCCTTCAGCACCTATTACACTGCGCAAAGGCTAGGGTATCACTTTACACAAACCAGGTTAGGGCAACTCCAACGATGATCACCAAATCGCCCACAAATGTCTAGAGTGAACGCTTTGGACACTTTTGACCATTCAACGACGATATCAAATTTGTTTGGACTGGTCTAGACGTTCAAAATCCCACAATCCAGCAACGAACTGATAAGAGGCTTGCGAGCGTCCAGATGTCTAGGATATCCTCTGTGTAGGGGAACAGGCCACGCAACAAAAATAATATGCTACACGATCACACCCGTGAACACTATGAAGATGGCGGTAATGATCAAACTCGCCGATGGTGCAGAGTAGCCGAAGCAGTGACGAGTCAGTGCAGGTGACGATCATGCCGATTCCTGCAGCTAGGTTATACCTCCCAGCCGCCAGAATTATTCTCCAAGACAAGTCGAAGTAGACGACCCCTTCGAGGTATCCACGCGTTCCACATAGTAGTTTGGCAGAGCTTTGACGTCTAGGAAGAAGAAACTGAAGAGAGAAGGCCTGGCGGCGCTTATCGTCTAATTATCTTAGACAAATTAGACCGAGATTAGAGGCCGTCTAATTAGGAGCCTAAACAGTTAGGCCAATTAGACTCAGAGAGTGTGGAGCTATGCGGGAGAGAGGCCCTTTGGATTGATGTGTCTCAAGAGAGTCCTGCACACATTTTAAAAGGTTCAAAATCATGGATTTGAGAAAAGTTCAAAAAATTTGAAAAAATCATGGATTTCAAAAGGTTCATAAATTTGGAAAAAATAATATATAAAAAAGATCATGAATTTGAAAACAAATCATGGAATTTGGAAAAACTCCATGATATTTTTTTAATCAGTATTTGGAAAGATTTCAAAAAAATTGGAAAATGTTGACGGATTTGAAAAAGATTCACAAACTTGGGAAAAGGTCATAGATTTGAAAAGGTGCATAGAGTTTTTTTAAAATGTTCACTATCTTTTAAAAAGTAAAAGGTTAACGAATGTAAAAATCGTTCATGGATTTCATAGATATGAAAAAAGTTTAATGGATTTGAAAAAGATTTATAAGTTTGAGAAACGTTCACGAATTTAAGAAAATGTTCATGTATTTGGAAAAAAATTTAAAAATTCATCATGAATTTAAGAAAAGTTCATGATTTTTAAAAAGTTTCCAAATTTGAGAAAATAATGAAAAAAGTTTCCAAATTTAAGAAAGGTGCTTGTTTCCATATTTTGTCCAGAATTACAAAAAAAAAATTTGTGTTTTCAAATTTCGTTCACAAATTCAAAAAAAAAAAGTTGCCATTTTATCAGATATTCGGCTGTTCTCCAGATTTGGTACAGGTTTCCCTCGCAGAAGACCAGGCTGTTCTCCAGATTTGGTACAGGTTTCCCTCGCAGAAGAGCAGGTTCTTGGCGCGACAACGTGTTGTACGACGGGACAAAGCTAGTGGTTGCCGTCCGTGGTCTCGTCCAGTCTCCTCTACAAGATGATGACCGCCTTCTGACATCGATAAAGTGCTGGTGTTCCTCGTAGAAGATTAGGTGTTGTATGCCCGTGAAGAACTGGTGGCCACGATGACGCTCCGGCAGGCGTAGCACGTACAAGTCTCCACGTTGAGTGAGGCCGTACAAGTGGGGCCGTTCCAGCCACCGCTGCCGACCGCCGTGCCGTCCGTTGCCCCCGTACGTTTCATCAATTTTTCCGATTTCTGTAGGTCATCTTGCTTCAGTTTGATCTAATTTCTTTTTTTCCTTATCACCCTCCCAGGAGATCAAGAGGTATCATACTAACTAGATCGTCAGAGAGTCGGCGATTATGAGCGGTTCCTGAACCTGGGGCTGTATGACGGCCACAAACGCCTGTATTTGCTGCGGCTGCGGCGCTTGGACCTCTCCAAGATGGACTTTTTTCACCGGACAGCAGAAGAGGCGGCTGAACATGGCAACACTGACGCCCGCCAAGGCCCGTGCCACCAACAGGCGAAGGACCTGCAACACCCAAGATCCGGCGACGGTGGAGGCAGCGGCGCCCAAGATCGTTCCGCCAAAACCCGAGCTGCTCATGGGGCCGCCGCAAATCTCCCCCTGCCTGGACTCCCGTCGCTTCGTCCATTTCTTCCCCACCGCCTCGGAGAGCAAGGTCGTCTTGGGCGACCGCGGGAACCGCATGTTACGCTTCAACATCGCCAATAGCTCCAGCTACGTCGACACCATGCCATGCCTCCACGGGGTCAAGGAGTTGCCGATGGCCATCTCCGTCCCTCCGACGGACTTACACCGCCCTGACGGCGATGACACGGGCGACCTCTACATCATCGACGGCCTCCTCCATCCGGACAAGGCGGAGGCGCGGCCGCAGTTCGAGGCCCTGGTGTGGAGGGGGTTCCGGCCATCCGCCTTATCTAGCAGGTTCTGGCACTGCGACATCCTCCCGCTGCCGCCGTGGATCAGCCACCACGAGCACGCCATGGTCTTCGGCCACGCCCTCGTCGGCGACAGCATCTGCTTCTCCATCTGCGGCGCCGAGGGTGCCGGCACCTACTGCTTCCACATCGCGACTCGTGAGTGGAGCAAAGCTGGGGACTGGCTCATGCCCTTCAATGGCAAGGCGGATTATGTCCCTGAGCTTGGACTCTGGTTTGGCGTCTCAAACAACCTCCCCTGCGCTGCCGACCTCTCGGGCGTCGTTAGAGGGGACGAGCTGTCGCCGGACAAGATGCGGATCTGGGCGCGTGATGACCTGCCGGAGGAGTGGCAGCCAAAGAGCTTGCACAATCCCTGCATCGTCAGCCTCGGTTCCGGTAGGTTCATCGTCGTCGACTTCTTGGATGCCATGAAATTCAACAAGGAATGGAACGAGATGGAATCCGTCAAGGAATTTGCCCTCTTCACCGGTATGGAGGTAGCGTACAGCAACGGCAAAGGCAAAGGGACGATGCATGAACTCCGTATGATGAAGCACAAATCCCGCCGTTACATGTTTAACAATCAACAGAGGATCGAGGCAGTGCTCTGAATGGCATTCACTCTGGGACTTAATTTGCTATCGTGGCTGCTCCCTGTTTACAGCTAGTACTGACTAACTATATATAGTGTTAAGTTAGCTTAAATAATCCATGCATCTTACTGAAGCGATGCATCTTGTCATAAGAAATATTTTATTCGATGGAAATTTTAACCATTGTGCTATCGTAAGCTTAGCTGAAGAATCCGATCCAGGTAGAAAGGAATTGTAGCAACTAGATAACGCTCCGCAAGTTGTTGCGGAAATTATAGCAATGAACTTACCAAAAATTAATTTAGCTATATCAAAATGGTATCGCACGGGAGTAGATTGAAAACCCAGGTTTGTTATCCTCAAATTTTAGTTTTTTCGAATTTTGTTGGTAATTTTTAAGTTTAATATTCGTATAGGTGTAGAGCA